TTCCTCTTCCTCTCTTCCCAGGCAAATACCCCTCCATTATTGTTCTCTCTAGACTTCCATGACGTTTCAAGTGACCAAAATATTTCAATTTTCTTTGTTTTATTGTCTTTACTAGCCAACCCTCTTCAATATTCAGCTCTTGAAGTATGGATGCATTTGTTCTTTTCTTTACCCAAGATATTCTTAGAACCTGTCTGTAACATTTATATTCAAATGCATTTATGCGCTGTTCCGCTTGTTTAGTAAGTGTCCAGGTCTCACAGGCGTATGTTGCAATGGGAAAGATGCATGCTCTTAAAAATCTGACCTTTGTAATTCTATCTGTACAATTCCATAATTTATTCAGTTGTTTTAGCCTTTGAAGAGCAATTGATAGTCGCCGTTTAATTTCTTTCATTGTGTCACCATTGTTGGTAACCAGTGACCCAAGATATTCGAAATTTTCCACCACTTCCAATCTTTTCTCGTTAACATATATTTCCTTCTCCATGGCAGTTTTGTTTGTATGCATTATCTTTGTTTTTGCTATGTTAAGAAATAAGTTATGATTTTTACTATTTCTTTGGAGTGAGGTTAATAAGTTTTCTAAACCATTTTGTGATGTTGATAGTAATACTGTATCATCAGCATAACGAATTTCTGGTATTTCATGACCACCGATGTTTAGGGCATCATATTGTTCCTTGTTTATATCATCTCTTACATTTCTCATTATATTTTCGGCGTACAGGTTGAACAAATACGGTGACAGCACACATCCCTGACGGACTCCTTGCTTGATGCCAAACCAGTCTGATGTCTCTCCATCTATTCTGACTGCTGCTTGTTGGTCTTGATAGAGCATTTTAATGAGCTGCACTATATGTGATGGAAAGCCCATATTCCTCATGATTTCCCAAAGCTTCTGATGTTGTACACAGTCAAATGCTTTTGAATAATCCGCAAAACATAAGAACAGATTTACATTAAATTCTCTACACTTCTCTATTATTAAACGCATGTTGAATATATGATCTCTTGTTCCTCTTCCCTGTCTAAATCCAGCCTGAGCTACATTAATCTCTTCTTCCATTTTCTTATGCAGTCTTCTCATTATAATTTTTAGTAGAATTTTACTTGCATGACTGATCAGTGCAATAGTTAGATAGTTTGTACATAATTTCAGGTCACCCTTTTTTGGTATTGGAATGAAGATAGTTCTCTTCCAGTCTTTTGGCCAAATACCATATTTCCATATCTTTTCACATAATGCATGATAGATTTTTTATGCTTTCTTCTCTCCCGCTTTAATCAATTCAGCTGGTATCTCATCACATCCAGGTGATTTACCATTTTTCAGGCTCCTTATTGCCCATGAAATTTCATCTAATGAAGGTTCAGGTTCTGCCTCTACTGTTACTGGTTCATGTATATCATTCATATCCTCACTGTCATTCATATCATACATTCCGCTGCAGTATTCCTGCCATCTTCCTAGAATTTGTCTAGATTCTGTTAAAGTATTTCCCGACCTGTCACAAATAACATTTAACTGAGGTTGAAAATTTCTTGTCAATAACTTCATTTCCTTGAACATTTCGTGATCTCTTCCATTTTTATGATGCTGCTCTATTTTAATACAGCAATCTTGTACATACTGATTTTTATCCTTTCTTGTGTACTTTCTTATTTCTCGTGTTAAAAATTTATACTTCATCCTACTGTCATTGGTTTCTCCTTTCTTTTTCAGTTCCCTTCGTTGTTTTATTAGTTCTAACGTGTATGGTGTGATCCATGGTTTATGTTGCTTAGTCCTGGTGGGTATTAAGTCTTTAGCTGCTGTTATCAAGATATCCCTAGCTTGTACCGCCAGTTCATCAGGTGTCATTTCCTCTTGTACAGACATCAAGACCTCAAAACGGTTCTTCACTTCTACGTTGTATGCATCTGGTATTTTTGTGAGATCAAATCGAAATGGCCTTGGTCCTCGGGTAAGCTTTTTGAGTTTTAATTTCAGATCTGCTTCTAGTAACTGATGATCTGTATCGCAATCTGCACTTCGCAGGGTTTTTGCAGATGCTATGCTCGATCTCCATCTTCTTTGTATTAAAATGTAATCTATCTGATTTTTGGTAACACCGTCAGGGGATGTCCATGTGAAAAGCCTTCTAGGGTGTTGTTTATAAAATGCAAAATTCAATCAATTTTTCTCCTGTTTCATTTCTATTACCCAATCCAAATTTTCCTAAAACGTGTCTCTCATTTTCAGCTCTGCCTGTACCTACTTTAGCATTAAAATCTCCCATTATTATATCATTCTGATTAATTTTATTTAATGTGTCTTGCAGTATGGCATAAAAATCTTCAATTTCGCCCTCCTCTGCTGTTGAAGTTGGTGCATATACCTGCATGAAAGTTATGTTTTTTGGACGGCCTTTAAGTCTGATAGTTAGGATTCTATCACTAACTGGATTATATCCCATAATAGCTTTTGCTGTTGTTTTGTCTAAACAAAATGCCACTCCGCTCTGGCCTCTTACATCTCTACCAGAATATACGAAAAGTCACCTGATAGAGTTTGAAATCTATTCTTGAGTCCTACTATAAATTTAGTGGCAATGTATTTTTCTCCTAATAGGTTGACATTGTAGCGTTCTGTCTGTGTCTTAGCTAGTGTGTGAACTTTTTTTAGTTTAAGTCGTGTAGAGCAACTACAAGATGATGATCGCTTCCCACATCTGCTCCCCTTTTGACGCGCACATCGAGTAGGGACCCAAGCCATTTTCAGTTTACCATGAAATGGTCGATTTGGTTTACATCTCTTCTGTTTGGGGATATCCATGTAAGCTTGTGTATATTCTTGTGAGGAAATAGTGTTCCTCCTATAACAAGTCTATTCGCCGTGCAGAAGTCGCTCAGTCTTTCTCCGTTGTCATTAATTGTACCACATCCCTGTTTTCCCATTGATAATTCTTTATTCAAGTTGTTACAGACTTTTTCATTGAGATCTCACATAATGCATAGAATAGCATGGGCTGGTACTTTATCTACTACCTCTTGCAGTCTCCAAAAGAATGTTTCTTTATCTTCGTCCTCAGCTTCATTAGTCTGTGCGTAACGTTGGATTGTTGTAAGTTTGGCATGTTTCCCATTGAATCGTGCTGTCATAATTCTTTCATTAATTGTATGCAACTCAATGAGATGTTTGTGCATACCTTTCTTTAAAATGAGTGCCACGCCTGCAGAATGTAGGTTATCATCTCTTCCAGAGTATATTATGGTTTCTCCTGTACCTGTTGTGGATTGTCTAAACCCTGTCCACCTGCTTTCACTGATTCAAAGAATATGCAGTTTATAGTTCTGCATTTCTTTAATTCCTTGGGCGGTTTTGACCGTTTCAAACATGGTTATTACATTCCAGAAGCCAATTTGGTTTTGACATCCAGCAGACTTGTTTTCCCACCATGGGCTTCGTTTCGGCTTTCACCCATGTTGTTCATGCTGACAGGGGGACTCTGTCCCAAGACAGCCGGACGTTTAGAGCACTTTTTTCCTCTTGAAGTTTCAGTAACATTGTAGATTGTTTTACAGGACAGAGCTGTCAACACTGCGCCCAACCCCCAAGCCTGGAGAATATCTTTAGTCTGGCCCCTCAACAATGACCTGTACGGCTTGGGAAACCCTGCCAGGAACATACGTTCACGCCGGCATAGCTCACTAGATCACCGAGGCTCTCAAGCTCCCCCACCACTACAAGGGGGGACCTTATAAGATTACCAATATTTTTTCAGTCTCCCCTCTACTCATCAGTCAGAGAGAGGAAATCGGACCCCACAGGAGCACCCTCAAAGATAAACCTTAGTTTACAGGTACAACTTCAAGCTCAACATCCTGTTCATGGCTTCTATTAGGATAAATTCAGTGCAAACTATTGATCGCTGCTGATGAAGGCATCACCAGAGCAATCATAGTACAGTGTTACATCGGCTAACAAATTAGGATTCGTCTTTTGAATGTTTTAGTGGATGTATATGTTAACATTAGACCAGATGAAGAAATGCAGACCAACAATAATGACTGCAGAAGTTGAGGATGCATTGCATCATACGAAGCAAGGAAAAGCACCCGGGAAAAACAACATCTCACTGAAAGAACTTGAAGCACTTTGAGATTTTGAAACTGAAATAATAACTAAACTTTTAAATTATATTTAAAATAGTGGGTATATTCCAAATGACCTTTTAAAATCCATATTTATAGCTCATCCAAAGAAACTAATCACTTTAAAATGTGAAGATCATCGCACAATAAGTCTTATGAGTCACATGACTTAGATTTTACTGAGAATGATTATGAGAAGAATATGTAACAAAATTAAACCAGAAATCAGCGATGAACAATGTGGATTTGTAGAAGGAAAATTTGAGGGTCAGTTATATCATTCACGAAAAACAAAACCCTTCAACTTCAGAATGCAACCTCCCCATGGAGGTTCTGCGACCCCATTGTGGGGGAAAACAAGAACAGACCCACTTCCTCCCAAAGAAACATGTCATAGGGGTTGACTGACTGGGTTCTTTCCTTCAAAGCCAGAGTGCATGTGCGAGAGTGGCAAGGAACAAACGAATGAACAACCAGGACTTTCTGCCGGAGCTTACAGCCAGTGAACAAAGAAGTAAAAGAAAAGTACAACATGCTTTTACGATTCACATATTTATAAATCATACGTTTTTCAACATGACTACTTAAAAAGTACCATGTCCGTGCTAAACCTTAAAAAATAAGACAGCTCCATAGGTTTTATCACAACTGGCAACCACTGACATACACAAACAGAAGGAGCGAAAGACACTCACCACACCATCAGAGATAATTGCAAGCCAGAGAAATGTAGCAAACAGCATGATTCAGTATTCATCAAAACTGACAACTGTTGGCCAGTAAACATAAATTTTATTGGACACCTGTCAATACTAACAACTATCACACACAGTATTAACGGGTCACACAGCAGGGCATGATTAGGAAGTTCCTGCTCGCAGTACGTCCTCTACTAGTGGTTCTATGTAAGGTCTGTTCTGCCGTTCTCTCTCTTTCTTGATAATACGGTAGCGCTTAGCCTGAAGTGATAACAAAATTAAAATGTCAGTTATGATATATAGGTTGACAAGAATGTAAACAAATAAGATTTTGTCAGTAAAGAATCCTTTACCACGCCTTCAGGTGTATTGGGCATACAATTTTAGACCTATATTTTTTTTAAGACCAGTTAGCACTTAGTGGGTAATGATGTCAACATTACTCCAGCCACCTTTACTTCCCAGGACTTTACATGGTGCCCATTTAAGGATAAGGTCAACTTAGGAGCCAAGGTTATTTTTAAAAAAAAAGTCTGGCTCCACTCAGATTGTAACCCATGACCTTCTGCTCTGCAGGTGAATGTCTAGCCACTACTACCCAGCGTCCTAAAAAAAAACATGACTAGATAATTTTAAAAAACTTATAATTAGGAGCAATTTCCCATGTGGGTTACGGGGCCCTATTGTAGGGAAAATAAGAATAGACCCAATGCCAACCCAAAAGCATGATGTAGGAGTAGACTAATTGGGAGCTTCCTTTAAAGTCGAAATGTGTCTGCCTGAGAGGCAAGGAACCAACAGTCCGCATACAAATAGGTCAGGTCTGTGATATGGATGTGCACGCAACACTTAAGTTCTGGAACAGGACAGCAGTTCAGAGGTGGACGAACAACTAGAACTTTTCCCCAGAGTTTACAGCTGGTGAAGGCAAAGAAGAAGAAGTATTAGAAGTACTGATTGATCGATGATAAGTGGTTTTTGAAAGAGGCGGGAGCCCGAAGACAACTTATCATGGATATCAGAAAGAGACAGTCATCATATTTCGGCCATGTTATGAGAAGAGGAAAAATAGAACATGTTGTGACCACTTGAAAGATCTGTGGAAGGAGGGATAGAGGAAGACAAGAGCAGATTCTTGACTGTCTTGTTGCATGGCGTGGAGGTGCATAGGCACACGAACTGATACATGCTGCAGGAGATGGCAGATTGTGGAGAGATATGATCGCCCACGCCAGTCGGCAAGGCACCTGATGATGATCGCTGATAAATTAATGAATGGTTTGAACAACGGATCAACATCATGGCACATGGGAGTAACCCATAAGTGCTGCGCTCTACTACTTTTAACTCAAGCATGAGTACAAAGATACTCTGTGCAGTGCCCAAACTCCGTAGCACCTGCAAGGATCCTAAACTACATTGGGTAAATATTTTTCTCCAAATTTTGTCCAGGCAGCGCTGTTCGGCTACTTTTTTCGATTTCCATATGCCAAGATATTGTTTTACCTGCGCAACAATACACACGGGCGTCTGATCTCACTACCCAGAGACCAGGGGAAATTACTAGAAGCCAGCGTGAAAAATTTCCAGCCTTAGCTTGGGCTCGAACCCAAGACGTCCATCATTCAAGGCGGATGCCATGCCTCAAGACCACTCAGCCCCCAAGATAGATTAATGAATGTGGAGGAAAAATTCACGATCCACTGTATGCTGGCTGCCACTGGCTATTGTCATACTGTGATGGCAGAGAGTGTCTTTAATGTTCCATCTTTTTCATGGCCCTCCTCTTGCTCTTGTAGCTTTTCTTCTGAGATGTGGTGCTTATGATGGTATCTGATCTTGCTGCATTTTGACGAGATGACCAAACCAATTGATCAGCTGTTTCTCGATGAATCTAGTTCAAGGTGTCGTTCTCATCTGACAGTACCACTGTTCATTTGACCAGTGGAAAATTCCATTCATATGCCTGCAATCCCATTTGTAATTTGAACACTAGTAAAACACTTTTCAGTCCCAGCAAAATCTTAATTCTTGCACATGCAAAATAAAAATGCATAAGGTAGCTGTCAGATGTGATAAAGATGCTTTACTGAACTACATAACTAACTTCAGTCCGCCTTCTTCGAATTTCTTCATATTAAATTTTAGTTGACGTTTCTCCAGCTAAGATATGTTATATGTGTTGTCACACTTCCTGCTCATCAGTTGTAGAAAGCACACGTTCAACACTGGCTGTTTGTTGAACCTGGTTCACATGCACATACATCTACATTTCTTGGGCATCACAGTGTAGACAGTCTAATCTATGACAGATCTGGTAGACCTGTCATAGATTCATCTTTAACTTACCATTTTTTTCCTCACAAACATATTTATACACGTATTTTAACAGAATCTAAGAGTATGTGAACACAAACTGACAAGAGAAGATGACCTAATCATCATGCTTGTCTTTACTGTCAGTATTAACAACTTTCTAGTGCGGCTCAGACATAGTGATTTTGGGCCAAATGTGTAGTGCTGCCATCCCCATGAACACAGCAGATTCAAATTTTTATTTTTGCCTCTTCTTATTCTTCTTCTTTGCGTTCACTGGCTGTAAACTCCAGCCAAAAGTTCTGGTTGTTCGTCCACTTCTGGACTGCAGTCCTGTTTCAGAACCTGGGTGTTGCGTGTGCATCCGTTTGACAGATCTGATCCATCTGCGTCCAGACTGCTGGTTCCTTGCCTCTCAGACATTTGCACTCTGACTTTGAAGGAAGCTCCAAATTAGTAGACTTTTACGACATGCCTATTCTTGTTTTGCCTATAAAAAGGTCCCAGAACCCACACGGGGGAATTTCGACTCCAATACAGAGGTTCTCAACATGCGGGTCATGAATCTTTTTTTTTGGGGGGTTGAATGACCCTTTCAGAAGGGTCGCTAAGAACATTGGAAAACACATTTTCATTAAAGTTTCAAGAAAAATATAAATATTTTGGTTGTCACCACAACATGAGGGAACTGTATTAAAGGGTCGCAGCATTAGGAAGGTTGAGGGCCGCTGATTTAATAGAGAAAAAAAAAATGTCTACCACCTTACCAAATTGGCGCCTATCATTCTAACCACTCAGCCAGATGTTTCGCTTATGTTGCAGATATAAAAAAAAACTGAACAGCATGAACATAAACATGTACAGCCTTTTGGAAACTGTACTCATTTTTTTTAAAAAGTCTTTTTTTCTTAGTCCATGCCAAATAGCACTGCTAGTCATGATTGTTTGCCTTCCACCTCGAACAGTGTTCGCCATTTCTGATTTGTTTTTTTTTTTCAATTCTATACCATCCAAAAACTTCACTCTTGGCCTTTTTGATTATCCTATTCTCATGACACAATCTAATTTTCCTATCAGTAACTTTACCAAAATCTCAGTTGTCTATTTATGATCTGGGTAATAAGTTGGTTTTGTGAGTTTATTACTTTTAATATATTATTATTTTTAACTACCCAAGGTATTCACAGTGCTTACGCAGAACCATATCTCTTTAGCTTAACCATATATTTTCACTAATTGGCTGGCTGTCCTACATTCCTTTCCATTCATCATGATTGGCTCTACATAGCTATTATTTTTTTTTAAATGGTTTTATTTGAAGATTCTTTATCCCTAAGAGATTAAAACTTGTATGAATTGCACATGTTAAATTAGAACTGTACAAGTTGAAAAAACGTGACATCATTCACAAAAATGGTGCATTTTACTGTTTAGGCACAACTTCAAAGTTTACCAGTCTGCAAACATTATCTTCAACACTGAATGTCATTTCTATGTTACAGAGGGCGCATTCACAACCATTATTTTACTTTTACACTGACCTGATCCTAATTTTGGCTTATTGTGTTAGATGGTAAAAACATGACAGCCTATGTCTACTGGTTTCGCACATGGTGAATATGGTGAATCCTTTTCATTGTGTATAAGGTATTCACACTAACATACTATCTTCAAATCTAAATGTCAGGGAAAATATCAGGCTGGGCTACACACATCAGAAATTTTACCTGCTGGCTTGAAAGTGTTGGGTATAAATTATCATGGACTTATAACATGACCTTGGCTCCCAGGTTCACCCATGGGTGTAAGGAAATGTCCTGCAAGGTAAAGGTGGCAGCAAGATCTTTCTACATCACTCACTGGGCGCCATTTAGTCTATAAAAACGAGTGTAGCATCATATACACAATGCTCAACTGGCACAAAATGGATCCCTAATGTATTTACATACTACTTCTATATTACCTTTTCAGCATTTCCTGCCCTTGAGTAACACAGCTGCAGATATCACCCGCCTCCATTCTGGCCTTCTCTTTCACGCTGGTGACTCTGTGTTTGTAGGTATGCATGTAGATTAGCTCTACGCCATCTTCTTTCCCCATGCAGGTTCAAGGGCCCCATTGGGGGTTGTGGGGGGACAGACACACCACACTCCAACAATCATGTCCTAAAAGTCTGCTAATTAGGGATATTTCCTTTAAAACAAGGGTGCAGCTGTTCCTGAGATGATGAGCCAACAGTCTGCATATTAATTAGCCAAATCTGTAAAATGGTGGGCACACAGAACTCAGGTTCTGGAACAGGGCTAAAGTCTAGAAATGAATTAACAGCCACAACTTTCCACTGGAGTTTACAGCAGGCGAACACGAAGAAGACTGTCATCTAGGTGTGCCTCTTGATCTACTCACATTCAAGTCCTTTGTATATGCAGTTTGTAAACTTACACCATAGAAGAAGGGGACGGAGCATGTGTGGGAATGAGTGTATTGAGGTCAATTTCTGATTGATTCATTCATTAATTCTTACATGACAGAAAGGTGGTGCAGCTCATAAACTTACCTGTTTGAGGCCTGTCGCACATTCGTTAAAGTCAGCAAGTTCCTTGACGCAGTCAACGTTCATAGCTCTCGGGCCACCCACTCTGCTGGCACACCTCATGAAGTCCATGTAAAATTCGCCACATCTTCCTTGCTCCATTCCACCCCATGATGCTATGTACTTTGTTACAGGACTATAAATGATAGGTAACATGCTGTCTTGGGCTCAACTAGAAATCAAAACGTAAATCAAATTACCAATTTAAAGAAAATAATGTCTGTACCAACTGGAAATCAAAATGTGATATCAAATTACCAAGTTCAGGAAATAATGTTTGGATTGAATCCTTCTTCTTCGTGCTCACCAGCTGTATACTCTGACAAAAGCTCTAGCAAGCTCTAGCTGTTCATCCACTTCTAAGCTGTGGCCTTTTTCCAGGACTTAAGTTTTGCATGCCCATCTGCTTTACAGATCTGACAAATGTGTGTGCGCATTGCTGGTTCCTTGCCTTTCAGCCAGATACACTTCACTCCCACTTTTGAAAGAAAAAGTGACCCCATCTACACTGGCCAGGCTCCCGGATGAGAAACAGTTTCTAGGATGACCGCAGAGAGATGTATTAGCCCTGGCCCTCATGCATCATTATATATGTGATCAAGCACCTTTGCATCCATACATCCATAGTCAAAATCAAAATCTGTTATCAATTTATCTTCTTCTTCTTCTCTTCCACCATTTATCTCAACGAGGTTAGGGACGGGAGGGGGGGGGGGGGGGGGGGGGGGGGGGATGTAAGGATCGTTTGTGAGCTTTTCCCAATACATTGTACAAGTGGGTGTTCATTTCTGTTAGGCTGCTCCTGATGATGTCGCTCCATCTCTTGCGTGATCTTCCTCTTGCTGTGTTCAATATATTCTTCATGTCCCTCTGTGGCAGTTGGTACCAGGGCGTCTCTCTGGCTAAAACCATATAGTTTGTTGTTCTTTAATTAACTGTATGACTGGTTTTAGTCCTAGACTTCCAATTTCTTAATTCCTGATTTTATCTCTTCTTGTCACACCGGCAGCTCTCCTAAGACATCTAATCTCTGTTGTTACAAATTTCTGCTCATTAGTTGTAGTAAGGGCCCATGTTTGGCACTGGTAGCACAACGTCAGCCAAAAAACCATTCTTATGAGATTTGCTTTGGTTGACAAAGGTAATCCTTTTATGCGTCAGAAGCGGTGTTATTGTCCCATAACCTGATTTGCTTCCGCACATCGTAAGTTGATTTCTCTATCCATTCTTCCATCTGAGGTGAAAAATGACCCTACCAAATTAACAAGTTCAGAAAATAATGTCTTGTCGAAATCAAAACCTGATATTGAATTACTAAGTTCAGAAAATAATGTCTGGACCAACTAGAAATTATCAAGAATAATGTTTAAAGCCACTAGAAATGAAAACATCAAATTATTAGTTTTAAAAAAAATGTTCAGACCAACTGTAGATAGAATTCAAAACATATATCAAATCAACAATTAAAGAAAATTTGGATTTTCTTTGTTATTTCACACCATCTAGGTGGCTGCAAGATTTTTAGGGAGTTCCCGGGAAAGTCCCATATTCTAGTATTTTTGTGATGTGACTTTGTTCAGTGTTCATACATTGAGGGAGAAAGTGTGTGCAGCAGGTTGACAAACTGTCTTCCACATGAAACTGTGCAAATTCCTTTGTGTGAATGACTACACACATAACTTCCTTTCTGCGTGAGCATGTTGGCTGTTTTCAGCGTTTAGTGCATCATCATTTTCAGTTTGTTACTTTTTCGTGTGAAAAATGAACATCAACTAACTTTAACACCCTATACTATGGGACTTTCCCTGGACTTCGCCGCAAACACTCGGAAGCGTAGTGTTGGGATGAAATAAAAGAAAAGGACTGAAAATTCTGTCTGGGCTATATTGAAATTTAAAAAAATGTCTGGACCAGCAGCAACAGTACTAATAGCTATAGTGGTGATAGCAGTAGCTGTAAAAGTTGTAGCCGCATCAATCACAACAGTAGTAGAGTCAGCAGCAGTAACAGAGCAGTTGAAGTTTTAGCTGCAGTGACTAGTGGCAGTTATTGACTGTAATAGCAGCAGTATTGGTAGTAGTTGTTCTCAGACATCTTTTTTACAAGATTACTAATTTCTTTTACAGTTTGTTGTGAGGGATTATGTCTAACACTGGTAGCACAGGGTGGGAATGAATATGCTTTGCATGAGATATGTCTTTGAACTGATTGGGATTTTTTTATGCTGTTAAGAGGGGCACTAGTTGTCCCAATACTTGGCTTGCTTTACTGCATTGGATATCAATTTCTTCATCTAATTTAGCATCTTCAGTAAATGTTGTCCTCAGCAATTTAAACTCTGATGCCTTTTAAATGCTTTTTAACGCTACTGCTATACTAAGGTTCTGCTTGTTTTTTCATACTGACATTACTTCTGTAGTTTTAGTGTTGATTCCCAAATTTTTTGTTTTACATTCTTCATTAACCGATGTGAGATATTGCAGCTTCATGGCAGTATCTGCTATCAAGGCCTGGTCATCAGCAAAGAGTAATCTGTTGCTGTTACTGATATTTTCCTTCCTGCGCCTGGCATCCTTGCAAATAGTGTTGATTAAGGTGATAAATACTCACGCAGCGTGGACTGGGGCTAAACTAGATAGCTGGGACTCACGAGCAAAGCTGCAGGAGATGCTGGATACACACACCAAATTCTCTCAAGGCTCGCTTCATCACCTCTCTAGAGAGGAACAATGTATTATATTCAAGCTAAGGACAGAGCACAACAGACTTTGTCAACATATGTTCAAACTTTTTGGTGCAGGAAACATGGAGTCGTGTCCCTGCAGTATGGCACATGAAAAGATATAGACTGCACGATAACTTTCATAAAGGCTACCAGCCTCCTAATATGTTTTCTGACTGAAGGACCAAAGAAGAAGAAGATACTGCCCAAATACTTGTCTATCAAATCAACTCTATCGAATGCCTTCTCCTGCTCTATGAATGCCACAAATAACCTCTCACCATTTTTGATGTTCTTTCAATTAACTGTTTGAGTGTGAAGACTGCATCTGTGCAGTTTAATGTTATTTTTAATATTTCCTTTCTCCTAAATAAAATTTTCGGCTCTCCTTTGAATTGTTCCCTAAAATGGCGGCTTTAATATGATGGCCTTTGAAAGAGAGCTAAACTGGCCAATTTCTGGCCATAAAATATCCAAAAATATCCTAATGCGGGTCAGTTCTATAAAAAAATATATGTGCCGGCGCCGGATAACGAAACAAATGCTCTCACAGGGTCTCGGCGATACGTTGCTTGCCAACCTGCTTCTGCCAGTGTGCCTCACCGCCAAGCGTATCCCCCGCGCCGCTACGTGCGGCATGGATGGGGGCTAAACATGATTGCTGGGACTCAAGAGCGGCAGCTACCGCATCTCCTGCAACTTCCTCCAATTACTGTACTCATGAGCCCCAGGCACCTAGTTTAGCCCCCATCCGCGCCGCGCATAGCGGCGCAAGGGATACGCTCGGCGATGAGTTTAATCACGTTTGGAGCATGTCAACAAGTCTGACATCTACCGCTGCTAAATCCTCCAATCGGAAGAACACGGTATTGCTAATCGGCTTTCATCGCCTGTAATGTCTCGAAATCGGTCAACGGTCGCTAATATCGTCTGCTAGTATCGTCTGCAGAAACGCTAAAAATTGTTGTCAACAGTCGGTATTTATCGTCTGCTACTAGTACTGTGTGCAAATGTTGATATTGATTGTCAAGTAATCCTAGTTTTGCCGCGATTTGTTCCTTGGCAGAAAGTCCCTATTTTAGATATACCCGAACACCGTCGTTCGGATATTTTTGGACATTTTATGGCCAGAATGTGGCATGCCGCCATTTTGGGGAATGATTCAAAGGAGCGCAAAATTTTCATCTGATCTGTGGTGTGAATGTGGTTCTAATCTAACACTAGCACTGGTTGGTTCAGCCTTGTTTCTATTAGTATTATAATCCTGTCATATATTTTGCCAACATCAATATGAGGTAAAGGTACAAGAGAGATGTTTCGTTACAGACTGCTTTCGAACGACACGAACAAAACCTAAAATTAAAATAAAATTTAAAAAAAACAAGTTTTAATTTTAAAAATAAATTTATTATATTATCACAGAAGGCAGAAAGAAGGGAGTACTGGCAAAATCAAGTGAACTTAGACCCGAGACCGCAGTAAAGAAGTTTTAAATACGCCATATCTTGCAGTCTTTGTTACTACAAAGCAACACCTGCATCTACCTGTTCGTTGTGAGTTAAATGTTGTCCCTCGAGGCAGAAAAACACAAGAAAGTGGCACCAGTTGTGAAAATCTTCGTTACGTCCGAAATGTCCCCTATGGTAGTCGACACCGGAAACCAAAGGACGACTTCCGGTAGCTCCCATCACCATCATCATCATGTTGCAGGGCTTTCGCAGAAGGTCGCTCTCTCATTAGGGTCCGCTGAAAGAAACTCTGTCTCTGGCCACCTCACCCGCCCTATACACTTTCATACCCAAAGAGTCACTTAGATCCTGTGCCTTTCCTCGTGGTGGTCGGCCCCTGCACCTCCGTCCTGCACGGCCTTCTCTATACAGACGGACCTGCACCATGCTAATGACTAATAGGATTATTTTTTTTGCCCAGTCCGCCGTAGCCCTTGATACGTCGAAAATGAAACAGCTTCCGAGACAAGATGATGTTTATTAGCCAATCTTTCGTGATGTCAAGATTTTTTTGAATGCCAATATTTATTTCTTTTCTTTGTCCATAGTATTCTAAGAATATGTGTACAGCATTTCAACTCAAAAAGTCCATATTTTCTGCCTTAATGACTACGAGATAGTCTAGGACTCATTTTCGTATGTTGTTACAGGAAGATGCGTGCGGCAGCTCACTATCACCATCAGTTTCCACTTTTGCAGTTAAGCGGTGTAGGAAGGAACAGTTAGCAATCGAGTGCTTAATGTGTAGCAATGGCTACTGTACTTCCGTGTCTATGTAGAGGGTCTTTAAAGTAACCAGTCCATTTCCGTAGGACGACCTCTTGCTTTCACGTGTAGTGTGCGCTGGTACCTGTGTCTGCATTGTAACGAGATGACCAAACCATTCATCTTCTGTCTCTCAAAGAATTTGCTGTTATTAACAAATC